TATTCATTAGATTCACTCGTGGATTCCATCCTATTGATAGCGGTTATTCTAGGAAAATGGACGTAGATTTAATCTAAACCGACGTCCATCGTCCTCGATCAGTGTACTTGTTTTTTCTATTTATATGATAGAAGCATATTGCATATGATATCATCAAATTGTTCTGCATCTATCAAACTTAAATTTAGTTATTCAATGAAATATAGTTGAGTTTTGTGATGAACCTATGCGGCCCCTCTAAATTGCATTACTAGCCCCAACAATTTAGATGGGTGACTTCCAGTTCCTGAATCGAAAATCCTTCAATGCCCCAACCAACTACGTCAACTCTAGGGGCTGTCACCTGCCCTTGTGCCGGCCTTGACACAACCCAATCGATATGCCCCATAAAAAAAAGAGAAGTCGATTGATTGCAAATTCTATTGATTGAGAATCAAATCAATTAAGCCCATAAACTTGCTATGGCTAGAAATCACATTTCAAATTAGGTGGTCCCACTGACAAAAAAAACAATTAGGTGGTCCCAAATCAGATTTTTTATTAGTCGAACTTTGCCCTCGATCTTATCTCCAAAATTTTAGTGTTGTGGTCTATCATTGAACTCATTGAATCCGACATTGTTGCTCATGGTTTGTTGTTATTGTTTAGGGTTAATACCACGAAAAACGTTACCCCGAGCTAATTTTTTGACCACAAAAAATCTCAAATTAGTACACATATGACAATTTTACTCAACTAATTTTTTGACTACTAAAAACCCCAAACTGATACACTTGTGACAAATTTACCCTCCATTAAATTGGATTAATACCACGAAAAATCACAAATTAATTAACATGTGACAAACGGAGGGGTGAATCCCAAACTTGTACACCTGTTAATTGCTCGTGTCATCCAATTCATCAATTTGATAATAAAATTTAACAAAAATTAATGGAGGGCAAATTTATTACAGGTGTATCAGTTTGAGATTTTTCGTAATATCAATCATATTATTATAATGCATTTATCTTTGCTTGTCACTCTCTAATTTAATTGATTAAGTGATCTTGCCGGTAAGAGAAAAGCAAATTTACCCAAATGCCATCTCACATATTTAGGAAAATTGTCCAAAAAATCATAATATTATTGTACGTCAGTCAATTCAATCCTAAACATGTTTACGAATTATCAATTTAGTCACAAATTTTTCCGTTATGCCAATTTAGTCCTAAACTTTTTAACGATTTACCAATGTAATCCTAAACATTTTTACGATTTGCCAATTTAGTCCTTTCAATCAATTTTGGCCGGAAATCACTAACGTGGCAATCTAGTCAACACCGGCCATCTTACGTGGCATAGTCGGCATTGACGTGGAAATTTTTTTAATATTTTTTTGGCACAATTGAAAGGTTTAGGATTAAACTTGCAATCTTTGGACAATTATCCTCACATAATGAAGATGCTTTCCACTGTTCAAATGAAGCCTCATCTTTTTAACAACCCCAAAAGCTCCATTCAAAGAAGGCCTTATGGTTTGCTCAAATGAACCTAATTCCCCCACCAAATTCAAAGAAAAGGAGTAATTTTCTGAGTTAAATTTTCACCGATTGTGCTTTTGTACAAAGTGGGTTTCCATCTTGACATGATTGTGTAGGTTGTAACTTCCGATGGAAATCGAGATGCGTTCTTTTTATTCCCTTCTTATCTATAAATGTTCGCATTCCACGTCGATTTCAAGATGATAGTCGGGGAAAAAAAAAATAAGAGTTTGATCTAGGTGAAAGAGTAGTACTGGGGGAACAAAAAATTGCCTTGATTCTTTCACGGATGAGAAGTGACTGCAACCTTTTTTTTTCTTTTCCCTACAACGGCATTTCAAGAGCAAAATAAGGGTAAAAAAAACAGTGTAGGTTTGTCTCGGGAATATTTGTTTGAAAAGTCCTAACCTACTGTACGGCGGTTGGATCCGAGGGAGGCCTTCATCCACGGCCGGCAATAGGCTCTCGCCTAGCGGCCGATGAGCCGAGGCCTCAGTGACTCCCGCTAGCCCTTTCGGGAAGATGAGCAGTGGAAAAAAAATTATAATTTTTATAAAACATGTGGAAATTGTTCATGTCAGCATCGATCATACCATGCAAGACGGCTGATAGCCGCGTCAGCGATTTCTGGCCAAAATTAGTCAAAAGAACTATATTGAAAAATCGTCAAAATGTTTAGCACTAAATTGGGAAATGAAATCTCCCATGAAGATAGCTTTCAAACCCACTGCAAGCCTTATGGGCTTCGCTTTGTAATGAGGCCCCTCTTACGAGCCCTTTTAGTTTTCAATTTTAAGCATATAAAATCTTCCTCCTACCCACAAAAAAAAAAAATTGGCACGGTTAAAACTTTTAAGATTAAATTGGCCGCCAGATAATAGATTTAGCATTTTTTGGACAATTTTGCATGGGCGCATATTTGCTTCGTTGATGTAACAATTGGATAAATTTATTCAACTTCCTATATTGATTATAATTATGATGCATCATCGCATATTAATTTTTCGAATGTGTTGTGCTTCAAATAAGAAAGTAAAATTAAGCCAATATACTTGTTCTTAATCGAGATGATCTAGGGAATTAAAAAGAAATAAACACGAATTTTCCCGTCTTTTTTATTGATTACTTTTTTGACTACTTTTTTGCTAATGTGATCCCTGATTTACATGTATGTTTTGTTCGAATTGATCGCTTTTAATTTTTTTTGAAAAATTTAGAACAAAACTAAAATTGCCAGAAAAAAATAAGTATCGAGACAACATTGATCAAATTAGAAAGGTAAAAGGACTATCCGGTGCCATTATCGTCAAAAAATTGATGTTTGATTCAATTGGACCCTCTAAGTTAAATCACTGGCCAACGAACTCTCGGGAGTGACAGATAATTAATAGCAAATTAGCACATAGAAGTCACGGTCCGTCTAACATAAAGAAAATAGTATTTAGCGAATAAATTAAACACCGTAGCTTAAGATATACTAATATACCATTCCAATCTAAAATAAAATGGAAAAAAAATTAAATTACGACGTCATAATGAGAATCTAATCTTGCGTGTCCTGCTGTGCCGGTTCCCTTTCAGATAGCCCGTTAATTACGATCGGGTCCTTATCCTGGATTTTTCTCCATCTAGGGTTTATATGTCCTTGACAAAATTTTTAAAACTTAATTTTTGCTTGAAACATATACCCTTGTGGGTTCCAATTTGAATCCATTGGATCATAAGATGAAGCTCGATCCCATTAAATTTTACAGGATGAAGCTTTCGCAGTACAAATAATCCATGGACCATTCTATGCCATAAATTGTACATTAAATGCAAATTCATTAGTCATCCTAGTCATAATATGAGAGCTAGACGGGTCAACGAGGCCATTGGACTTTGATCCCAAAATAAATAAACAAAGAACTTTTGTTGTTCGAAATTACTTTCCTATGAATAATCTCTATCTAACTTAGTCGTGCAAATTATTCACTGGCTAATAATTAGCGTGAAAATTAATCGGATGTTCGAAGAAATCCAAAAATATTCCAATTTCGATAAGATCGTAAAAGGTCGAGAGATCAACTCGGAACCTCATCATAAGGTTAATTCACGTGATTCGAACCTCATCGTAAGGCTAATTCACGTGATTAATCATTCGATCAACATGTACTGATATTAATCATTCGATCATCAACTTTTCACGTGACCAAACACACAAAAGTTAAAAAAAGGAAAAAAAAAAAGTCCCCTTTTTTCGAACGATACAAAATAGGAAAAGAAATTGAAAGTTTGTGGGCCTAAGTTTTGTTGGTGAAAATGAAGTGAAGGTGACCATAGTAAGGACATTATTGTCGACTGCGATAGTCCATTAACTGGCAACCATTATGAGCACTCATCTTTCCAAGGATCAAGAAAAATATATAAAATAACATGCATTGTGAATTAGGGTTGCTACTTTCTTTGGATAATGTGATCAAGGGTATGAAGGAATCAAATTAATCTTAAATTAATCCACGAGTTACTTAAATCCGACTCGCCTTTTTTCGACCCCGATCTTGGGCTCGACATGATCCATGCAAACTCAATCCGACCATGTACCTACTCGAGCGATTACGATACTCTCGTTGATTTGATTACAACCGTGAAAGACGTACGTAGTAATGTGTCTGAATCTGTCGTCAGATGAGAGTTCGAGTTCACAGTCAAGCCTAACTCGAACTTTTTTTTTAATAAAGTCTATTTCTCGTTATAGAAACGAATGAAGTCCCGTCTGTCTTCGCACAACAAACATCTATTGAGGTGAGATCGAGTGTAAATAATCGAGCTAAATCAACTCAATCGTCACTCGAATCGACCTCCTATAGTTAGCCTAGCACATCAATGATTGTACGATTACATACCATCACGAACCGTTACGACAAAAAATGCGAACCCCACTTTGTTGGACCAGACCAAAAAGCATGTTTTGATCAAGCAACAGGTTCGTGGATATCTAAAATCGTATATCATTATTTCTTACAAAAATCTTCTTAGTTTGAAACATTTTCTTTTTCTATTTTTTGAGTTTTGGACTGAAAATAAATGAAGCAACTATTTCAGTAAATTTTTTGTTTTTTTGCAGCTATAGGAAAGCACTATCATCTCCTCTTCTCCAACAGCTTCTTGTTCTGCAATGGCCCAGAAGGTGGGTCACATGAGGGAATCCGCCTGCATCCAAACACCCCCTCGCTCTTTTGCTGTGAAAAAAGCACTGAAAAACTTGGCAAAAAAGATGTTCTGGCATCCAAACACACCCCATTGCTGTCTTGTCTTCTAGCCCCCCAGAACCAATCATTGCTTAAAATTAAATCTGAAGATGATTATTATATTACCGCAGCTACTGTGATAAAAAATCTATGCGACAAACCCAAGATCCGTACGAGCTCTGCATGCTTTGCAGGGCCCTAATTCAATCCAGGCCTTACCCTTTTGGTGAGCAATTACTCCAAAACTCACCCACCTTTACTTCTTCACCAGCAATGAATTGGCAGTGACTAGCCAAACAAGTGAAATTGTGCATATGAGACCAAAAGCCTAGGAGCTATAATAGCTAGAGACTGTGGATGTTCTGAAATCGGGGAGGGAGATGATGTGTTTCATGGAAACCCCAAGATAGCTGAGATGAGGGAAGCTTATTAGAGGCACATTCAATGCCAATAAACCCCACAGCCATTCTCTCTCTCACTCTTCTCTTTCAATGCATCAACCGCATTTCTGGCCCACATTACAAGAAACACCCTCAGGCAAGAAGACGTATCTTTGGTCGACGCCTCCACGTCAAGGAATGGAGAGAGCCTGGCTTCTGGCTCTCTTGCTCCTCCAAATCGTGCCCATGCAGGAGGCTTTGGGCGTGGGAGCCGGCGTAGGCATCGGCATCGGGGGCGGGGGAGGCGGCGGCGGCGGCGGCGTCTGGATTGGTGGAGGAATTAGCAGCCCGCCAAACGAAAACCCACCCGGGTCGTCTTCATTGCCCAACCTTGAAGTGGCCTACAATGCCCTCCAAGCATGGAAGTCCTCAATCACAGAAGACCCCCAGGGGGTCTTGAAGTCCTGGGTCGGTCCCAACGTGTGCTCTTACAGGGGGATTTTCTGTGCAGATTCCCAGGAGAATTTCCTGGAAAACAATGGTCCTGTTCTCGCAGGCATAGACCTGAACCGCGCGAATCTGCAGGGCACTCTCGCCGCAGAGCTGGCTTCCCTCACAGACCTGACCCTCCTGCACCTCAACAGCAACAGGCTCTCTGGCTCGGTCCCTAGCTCCTTCACTGGCCTCACCTCTCTCCAGGAGCTCGACCTCAGCAACAATCGCTTGTCAGGCACATTCCCAAGCTCGCTCCTTTCCATGCCCAGCTTGCTCTATCTTGATCTCAGGTACAACAGCTTCTCTGGGCCAATCCCACCTGAGCTCTTCACCAATGGCAAGCTTGATGCAATCTTGCTCAACAACAACCGCTTCGATGGTGATCTGCCTGAGACATTGGGAAGCTCCCAGGCCTCTGTGATCAATTTGGCCAACAACAGGCTCAGTGGAAGCATCCCGGCCAGTCTCGGCTTCATGAGCGGCAACAAGATCAGAGAGATCCTGCTCTTGAACAATCAGCTCACTGGGTGCATCCCCGAGGGGATTGGGCTGTTCTCGGACATGCAGGTGTTCGATGTGAGCTACAATTCCCTGATGGGTCACTTGCCGGACACCGTCTCCTGCCTTACCCAGATCGAGGTCCTGAACCTGGGGCACAACAAGCTGTCCGGGGTCTTGCCCGACGTGGTCTGCTCGCTCAAGAGCCTAGTGAACCTCACCGTGGCCTACAATTTCTTCTCTGGATTCAGCCAAGAATGCACGACACTCCCCTTCCGGAATGTCGGGTTCGATTTCGCGGCCAATTGCATACCGAACCGGCAGATGCAGAGGCCTCAGCTGGATTGCTCGGCGATCCCAGGAGGGGGCTTGAATTGCCTGAGGATCCCTGGCGCTTCTCAGCCTCTGATTTGTGGGGCAATTGGGGTGTTGTCAAGAACAGTTGGGGATCTCGCTGGGACTGTCGGTGATCTCATCCCGGCAGCTACTCCATGACAGAAGAGATACGGGGAGAGATAGGGACAAGAAAGAGAAAGTCCCCATTTTTGGTTTGGCCAAGAGAAGAGGTTGGTGATGCCGGTGTCTCTGCATTGAATAGCACTGTTGAAAATAGTAGACTATTTCGTTCTTTTACTCATCCTCTGCTGCATCGATTTATCTGTTCATGGAACTAGTACATACAGTAGGTGATCATATGACCTTCCATGGAGAAGACCAGGGTGTGAGTTTGGAACAGTGTTTTTCTCTCTTCTTCTTGGTGCAGTATGAAGATAGTTACCACAAACCCAGAGTAACCATCACAAAAAGTTCCCTCTACTCTGCACCAATTTATTGCATAAATCTGGGGCAATTACAATTTGGCCCACTTAAATCTTTCGAGCTGTCGCGAACTATCTCGAGATGATTTTTGCGAATTCCGCTCTAATCTTCTGATTGATTTCGCCTACGGTCGATCGGCCAAAAACTATTTGAGCACGCAGCAAAGCGATTCTTGAACTTGCTTGGCAATTGAACAGATAAAATTAACTGTTGAATTACAATGTCTCCTCGTGACATTCTTATCTATTTGCGGACATGTCAGTGCCACGGAGGTCTGTTCCTTCATCAAGGAGTCCGGACCTTGACAGCCCATTCTGCAGAAGACGGAGATGAAAGGGTGTAAGAGTACAGATTGCAAAAGGACTTTGAATATTCTGCTGGTAAAAATAGTTTCGTGAGTGTTTTCTTGTTCTTTTCTCTGCAACGGATGGAAACCTCCTTTTCCTTCACGTGTGCCCACAGCACAGTCAGTCACATGCAACACACATGTTCGGTCATTCGGCGAGCCTAATTCCCTTAAAAACCTCTAACTTTAGTTGCAATCCCATATCTGTCATGAACCTTTTTTTTTGTCTACAGAGTCCTAAACTTTAAGTACATTCATAAATCTACCTTGAACATTTTTTTTATTGTTTTTACTCTAGTCCCAATTCTATTCCCGTTAGTCCCTGTCCAAAAATCCCGTTCATCGTCCCAAACGTTCATATCAAAGAACTGTTGGAAGTTTAAAATAAAAATCAACTTAAAATAAAAAAAGATCCCGAATTTTCATATCAAAGAACGGTTGAAAGTTTAAAAAAAATCAACTTAAAATAACAAAAAGGTGATAGTCCGGTAAGACTTCAGCCCATTAGAGCGATAGCGGGCCTGAGCAGCACCGACCCGTTTTCCTTCCACTGCCGAGAGCGGGAGGTTTTCGCTGCTCTGTGAAGCCAGCCTCACGCGGTCCCCTCCACTCTAGTGGACACAAGGCCCGAGCCTTCGGGCGAACCACATGAACCAACTCCTGGCTTGGAACGGTCAGGCCAGCAAAGAGCCACAGCCAAGCCCGGCCCGGCCCCAATTGATCCCAAACCATATTCCATCCTCTTGGTGCCCCCACTTGGGTTATAAGCCCGCGTTGCTGAGCTCAGTAGTCGTCGCTCACAGGCATGTGACTTATTAAGTGTTAACTATGTCTGTGATGCTCCGAGGCGGGACAAGCTGAGCTTCTTTAGCTTTGTCTCCTTTGACAATGTGGACTCGGAACTGTCTTTGGTCTCGGTCTTATATCTCGCGACTCAGTTCCTGTTCTCGTGTGTTCTAACTCGTTGAGCACCGCAGCCGATGAGTGCGGCTTCACTATAAAAAAAAAAAGGCCCGAATCGTAGCCTACGGCGCGAGGAATCCCATCTGGTTCGTGCAAAAAGGCCCAGTAGAATTTCGACCCTGGTTGATCGCCTAAAAAACCTACTTAAAGCACTCAGCAAAGCGATTCTCGAACTTTGCTGAGGCTGTTTCAGGCAATGAAAACTTCATAAAATTAAACTTAAAATGAAAAAAAGAAAAAGTAATGGTTCGGTGGGGACTCGTGGCCCAATCAGAAAAGGTCATGGTTTGGTGGGGACTCGGAGATGCCCGAGGGAAGAACAGCAGAAGTGCCAAAAGTTGTGTACGGAGCTCACTTTGATGCCAAAAGTTCCATTTGGATCACGTAAGTGCCAAAAAATTTGAAAAACGATCTTTTAAGTGCCAACTCCGATCTGATTGGTCGGAAATCTGACGTGGCAATTTTTTATTGGGGTAATTCCAAAAAAAAGCACCAACTTTAAGTCGAGGGATAATTCTGGCCCGAACTTTTTTTTGTTCCATAAAAAAGCACCAACTTTAGGTCGAGGGACAATTCTAGCCCGAACTTTTTTTTGTCCCATAAAAAAGCACCAACTTTAGGTCGAGGGATAATTCTGGCCCGAACTTTTTTTTGTCTCGTAAAAAAGCACCAACTTTCATTTAAATCCCAAATTTGGCCTCCCATTGATTTTCTGTCTGAAGTTACCCTTGTTTGAGAAAAAAAGTTATGGTGGTGAGCTTGGCGAATCTCTTCCATGGCGTCTGTCGACGGGCGGTGGTCTACAGCTTCAAATTACGACAAAAAGACGAAGTTTGGCAAAAAAGATTCAATCTGAAGATATTTTTGACTTACCAGTGAAGTGAAGGAGACGAACAGTTTCACCGTTATTCTTCAAGCTGTGATTCAGAGAATAAAACAATGAATAATGCTTTAAATCCAGTCAGTAAGTCATGTGGATTTATTGCTAAGGTGGAATAGTCAAGTTGGAAAATCAATGGTTTTAAGTCAATAAGGGCCAGATTTGGGATTTAAGTGAAAGTTGGTGCTTTTTTACGAGACAAAAAAAGTTCGGGCCAAAATTGTCCCTCGACCTAAAGTTGGTGCTTTTTTATGGGACAAAAAAAAGTTCGGGCCATAATTGTCCCTCGACCTAAAGTTAATGCTTTTTTATGGAACAAAAAAAAGTTTGGGCCAAAATTGTCCCTCGACTTAAAGTTTGTGCTTTTTTTTGGAATTAACCCATTTTTTATTAGTATTTGAAGCCGACGTGGCTCGCCGGAGAGTACAGTCAGCGTGCAAACAATAAAACGACACCGTTTTATTCACGATACCTACACGGCGCCATTTTATTTAGCTTCTTCTCCCCAAAATAAGAACCATAATCCCCAAATTGAAAGATGGAGGGCGGAAGCTCAGCAGCGGCTCACATTCGGGATACCTAACCCGCGAAAATCAGAACCTTAAATCCCCAATTATCAGCTCGCGTTTGCAAATGGAGGGCGGAAGCTTCAGCAACGGCTCACATTCGATTAAAAAAAGCGAATTAGATGGTGAGTGTTACTGTTTTTGTGGGTTACCGAGTCCGAGAAGAACATCTTGGACTCAGTTAAATCCCGGGAGAAGATTCCATGGATGCGGCAGGTATAGAGAAGGCTCAAAGTGCAAATATTTCAAATGGGTTGATGCCAAATTCTCCGGTCGAGCCACAGAAGTGATCTTGCAGCTACTTGAAGGACGACATCAACCTCTACCTACATTAATGGACGAGTTAGATGATGTCGACTCAATACAAGCTCAAATGAAAGGTTTAACATCTTTATTCGACCATTTGAAGAGGGAAGTTTCAAGGCTGAAAATTGAAAGAAACTTTTATCGAGCATTGATTGTGTTGTTGTTCTCTTGTGTAGTTTATTCAAATTTGAAGTGAGCAATGAGAAGAAGTTTGTATGTCTACCATAATCGAAGATGTGGAATATTTACTTGTATTGGGTCATTTGTAAGTAAAGTGTGTTACTGGTTTGCTGCAAATTGTATGGAACAAAAGGTTTTGTTCCAATTTATGGTGGAAATGGAAGGTTGGAGTTGGAATTCATTGATTGTGAGCACTTCAAATTTTTTTTGCTTGGTTCTGTATTGTATATATTGGTTTGCTTGGTTTTTGCATCAGATGTAATGGTTTGCTGCAACCATTACTGCAAACCATGAAGAAATTAAGGGGTGGTAACAATTCACGAATGACTATTTCAGTGCCATAAGTTGTAAATAATTATCGTTTCAGTGCCAAGTTTTTCTGAAAGTGATCATTTTAGTGTCAATCGCGATGAAAAAGTGATCACTCTTGTTGCACGAGTTTAAAAATAAGAACAAGTCAATTTCAACTATGTTTCCATTGGCTTGCACCAGTCGTGGTGCATGTTGTTGCACCAGTTGAGTTGCTGGTGCGTCTTGTTCTTGCACCAGCTCATACAAGTGTTGGTGCAAGAAGACGCACCAGCACCCAGAGTTGCACCGAGAGCTATGTTGGTGCAACAGGATGCACCAACAGCCAAAATTGCACTAGTGCTGTTCTAGTGCATCTTGTTCTTACACCAGTACTTGTATTTGCTAGTGCAGGAAGATGCAACACCCACAACTTCAACCAGCACGTACATCCAACACCCACAACTTCAACCAGCAACAATAATCAACCAACCACTTCCAAAAACAACATCAGCCTCTTAACAAGGTGCAAGACAAGAAAATAACAAAAACATTGTTGCCATTAACATTGATTGGTTCTTTACAAAAATAAACATGTCCATAAAAAACATTAGTCCCCCAATCAGTCAACGATCCCCTCCCACCTAATATGTCAAAGCGAACACATATAAACAATGGCAACAATCCCCATCAGTGAAGATACCATGTCCAGCACCCTCCCATTAGTCAATATGCACAACACCCCCGGCTCCTTTTCCTTTTGCACTTTTGAATTGATTCATAATTCGGGCACTCTTTTGAATTGGACACGTAGGTTCGTTAACTGGCATTTATGTCACATTCTTCTTAGCATCAATTTTTTTTTTGTAGCACGTGTCATGTGTGGGGACCTCTCCGTAGGAACATTGGTCCCATGATCAGTCGGTTGAAATGGAACTAGTACCGGTTCTGTTGGTTGAGATGGAACTAGTGCAACTTTATTTGTTGGTGGCTGTTTTGAAGCTGTACTCGCTGTCTTCTTCTTCTTCTTTATGCTCTTCTTCGGCTGCGCCCTTGACTCTTGAGTTGGCCCACCTTGAGAGATAAGCACCTCCGAACTTCTTCCAGGCTACAAGAACATAATTATATTGTTAACCAAATGAATTGAAATACCATAAATTAAATACATGAGTCCTACAAATCTTACATTGAAAATAGTCATTCCAGTACGTTCATCTGTGTAAATCCCATAACCATATTGCCTTATTCTTTTTCCAAGAACCCCTCTTGTTCACTGTGATGCATCACTTTAAGCAACTTGCGGGGAAGCAATTTGTGCAACTTGTGGGGGAGCAACCTGTGGGGCTCCCTGTCCTTGTGCAACTTGTGCAGTTGGTCGTCTTTTCAC